CTGAGGGTATCGGCGAAGTCTGTACAGGCCACCACGTGAAGGCGTGAAAATCTTGATAGCCGAAGTGATCCACTGATAGCATTTCGCAGTTTCATGGGAGCCTTCAGGTGTCACGAAATAACCCGCGGCGCTGTTCGGCGACGGGGGGGGGGCATTTTGCACTTTACTACTTCCCATCGACGTGTCGACCCATCTAGACAGCCTCTTCTCGAGTTGACAGGTTTTACCATGATGGCTTGACGAGCTTGCTCCAGCTTCACAAGAGTTCACAGGTTTCACCAGAGTGAGACTTGTAAACCGGAACTAGTGAAGCAACGAAAGCGCAAAATGCCCCGCCCCCCGTTGAACTGCGCCAGTAGCCCGCCGAATAAAGACATACTAGCAGATGAAACAAGTATAAAATGACTTCCCCATGTCGAACAGCCCAGCGCAACGGCAGGGCACTCTTTGTGGCAGAAGAAATGCTCTGAATGTCTAATCGTTTGTGCGTCACTAGGTGGTCGGATGCGCGTTAAAATTAGGAGCAGAAAGGACGACTTCACTCCGCCGTGTTTCGCCTCGTGAAGTTCGGTGCTTGCACTTCCATGTCTGGTGATAACAATAACGTCCGCACAGTGCTGTCACTTTTTCGAAGCGAACTCCGTTTGGTTGACGGTCTGGTTTAGGACAACGGATGGAATGGGGTCCCCATAAAAGTAGCTGCCCATTGTTATTATTTTGAACGGAGGATTTAGAGGAGGTTGGAAGGTATTACCGAGCGCATACAAGGGAGAACACTGTATCCATTCCAAGAACACAAATACACTGTCCAGGAAATGGAGAGGGCGTGGCTGCGTACCTCTGACATATTTGGAACAATTGAAAGCATGCCGTCGTCTAGCAAAAACCGGAGGAAATTTCAAATGGAAATATTCCACAAGGAGCGTGGCTGCGATCACGTTCAAATACGCATACATGACCTCTCCCTATTCAAACGCGGAAGTCTGTACAGCTAGCTCCTTTAGGCTAATCCAACCGATGCACGTCTTACTTTGAGGAGAAATTGCAAAATACGACACTTCCCCTCAAAATCACTTTTTCGGTGCGACCCCCTCCCTTCCCTGTCCTACTATCTTATTAAATTCCAGGAAGTTCCCACCGCTTTCACCACTCCACAGAAAACTTCCAGAAATTCCTCCATTGCCACCGAGCCGGAGGAGGGGGAAAGGATACTGTCGGTGTGTTCTGCCGGTGAAAGGTGTCGGACATTTGTCAGACAGGTTCACACCTAAATCCTCAAGACGTGTAGGATTAACACGCCTAGCAGAACACCCTTGAACAGGGGCAGTTTGGCGCCATTTCCAAGGAAGGTGCCCCTTAGAGCGCCCTATTAAGCTGCAACATACCGACCCGGACGTCCCACCGCGCCCGCCCGCCCACAAATGTCCGACCGATGCTGATGCTCGTATCGCTTCATTTGCGAAGCACAGTATGAAGCGAAGGGGTGGATATGATGCGCCTGCTGCGCTGCATGGATATTTGAGTACATACATGCAGCCGTATTCTTCGATAGTCCGGGTTGACTGGCAGATTGCCTATGGAAACTCGTCCGAAATTGATTTTTAAGTCATTGAGAACGAAGGCTTTTCTTCGCAGGATTTTGACCGTTTCACTCCGTTCTTTCGCCATTTTCCCCCTATATAGCGCACTGCTAACATTTTAGGTCGAGTACCCAATATTAGTCGTGCCTTAAGAACTTAGATGGTTGAAGTGGGTCCAAATGCGATACCTAGAAGACCAGATTGTATCGATGCAGTATCGACTCGGAGACTTGTAGTGAATTTGAAGTGTGGCATATGAGAGATGGCTATTCAATGTGTATTATGTAATCATAAAGGACGGCTCATAAAATTGGCTATTGTATGTCTCTTTTCGCATTTTTCCATAGAAATAGATTGGAAGGCAACGATGCTTTTCCGTTCACAACAAACATTCCTTCACTGGTACTGTCTTGGTACTGTAGATGGTCGAAATGGTCCAATAACGGTCATACTGGAATGATATGTTTGCCGCTGTTTATTTTATTAGAAGTGCTTTCATTCCAAACGATCCATGGTTTTGGTTCAGCGTCTGATGATAGCAGAAGAATTGGAGCATGCCTCTTTTGCCAGGAATTCTGGATGAACTTTATGCACACTTACGAGATTGGCGTCGCACGAGTCGAGGTAGAAGGGGCATTCTTTTGGTCAACTGGTTTCTCACTGTGTTTTTTCCTCAAAGTGTTACATTTCCAGGTCAAAACAGTAAATGTGAATTCAGAAGCATTCAAGAAGAATTTCCTTGGTGCACAGCCTCCTATTATGATCGAAGAGGAGAAGTATTAATCTTTTCACGTTCTTCTTTCATCGTTTATTGGGTTATCTGGCTTATCATTAACATTCTTCTCATTCCAGAGAGGCGACCTACACGGACAACCGTGAAATTGAAGGACGAATCTTTCACCTTGCTAAAGAATTCCGTGTTCCTCTTTTCGAAAAGGATCCTACCGTTGAAAAACGGATAGAGAGTCTTTACAGGGTAAGTTCTTGATAAATCGGACCCAGTTCAGCGACAGGGGGAGCATTTTGATCTTTCGCTCCTTCACTAGTTCCAGCTTACAAGTCTCACTCTGGTGAAACTTTTGAGCGTGAATCTGGAGCAAGCTTGTCGAGCTTCCATGGTACCAAGTCAACTCTTTTTGAGCTAATTTGATGGCTCTCACATGGCTTGACATGTATGGGAAGAAGCAAAAATGCAAAATGCCCCTCCGTTGCCGAAATGCTCCGAAATTCTTATAGAAATACTGCTTAAATGCTCAAGATTCGCGCATACAAAGGAAAGAGAAGGGGTATACCTCACAGCCATGGAACCACCTTGATTTCCGCCATCAGCGCACAGTATCGTTGAACAGACACCAGGGGACCGTATTTGGCCATTGGGAAAGCTTTGCAGGAGGGGATACAGTATAACAGTATTCTCCTCAAGACCAAACCTTAATTAGCCTTGAGGAAAATACCGTTATACTGTGTCCCTTTCTGCAAAGCATTCCCTAGTCACCGGTTGCAGACCTACTGATCCTAGATGCGTTAGTCGCCCAGAGGTCTTCCTACACCCCCCCCCCTAGGGGGGGGGGAAGAGTTTCTTCTTCGAACGTCTTGAGGAACGCTAGATGGTTGTGCCTCCTCCCCCATAACTTTCCTGTTCGATGTGAAAGTGTCAGGTATTCTGCGCAGGGGGCACGGAGCTCCACTCTACGCACCAAAGTGGCATATGTGGGAGCCAAGACAGATATCGATTGCCAGCGATGCAACCAGCGATCTAGTGCAAGAACTCAGCTGCTTTTTTTTCCTTTGTAGGCGTGTATCTCAGGCATTTAGCTGTTTCTTTCATCTGTGTACGTGTGTTTCCTTGAAATGAAAGACTTATATGGATGAGAACATATTGCAGAACTTCAAACTGTTCCTACGAGCGAAAACTGAGTATGACAAAGAAAGGCGTGACATTTCATCCGTTGAGTCATTGCCGCCACAAATCAAGACCCATTATAATCGTGTTGTAGAGCAACTAGCTGGTATTGATCAGGTTTGTGAAAGAGTCATAATGCTCTTAATGTGCTCGTTAATGACCAATGTAATTTAAGCTGCTGGCGGAACGACAAACTCGCTACCTCTTGGGTCCGTCAATGACGGAATACGATTGTGAACTGATGCCTAGACTACATCACATGCGTATAATTGGCCAGAGAATGCTCAAGTAAGCTTTGCAAAGTTAAGAGTTTTATACGGTTGTTCTAGTTGGGTGAGGCACAGGTTTGCAGCGGATACCATTTGGGGGATTGAAACGTGGATCTGTTCCCGCCAATCAGCAAATTGGAAACCAGATCCCCTGCTAGAGGATAAGAACGCTGACCTGTACATGGTCTGGTCCCCGCGAGATATAGGCCTCATCGCGTTCAAGTCCTCCTACGGTTCTGAACGGAAGGGTGCCGCATCCCAAAAGGAACTGATCAACAGCAAGTATTTTTCTTTTTGATCTAATGGGTTTGCCAGTGTTTGTGGGTCACTTTCCCCATTTCCAGACTGCTTATTACGTTTGGTTTTCAAGTATAGGCGTACCCTTCATCGGTATCCAGGACACTCTGCTAGCGTCCAGGCCATTGGGAGATTCTGTCCTTGTGGAATATCGTGCTTCTACAAGGACGGAATCTGCATCGTGCTTCTGGATGGCGGAATCTCGCTGATGAAGATGAACTCTGAATGAACAAGTTTGTGTTCATGCAGAGTTCATCTTCATCAGCGAAGTGGCCTACTTCCATATGACGGCCCAATGATCGAAAAAAAGTTGTAGCTATATGTGGGAATGTCAGGGCTCTACGGTAGATTGAGGATAAGCGGCTCAGTCCGACTACGCAGCTTCTTCTGTGCAAACATCTGATATATGCCCCCCCCCCCAGCTGTCGTCACTAAAGCTCAGCAGTAGAACCTCAGTATTGCCAGTAGAACCGTTTGGCAGCAGCTTTCGACTAGTTCTTTGACACTATCAGTCACACAATATAATCTTTCCGAACTCCGGTCGAGATGTTGAGGCTCCCACCTCACCCGACTCGAGCAATTGTCGCTTGCGCGAGCAGTTGAAGTGAAAGACCTCTTTCTCGTCTCATGTTACCACGTAGTCCAGCTCTATAATGAGTAGCGAGTGCATACCCTGTTCCATTCCTTGTTGCAGCAGAATTGGCCGCATAAGGAGAGGGGTCAGAGTGTGAGGTAGAGGAAGAATACTGTCGTCACCAGCTGTCTAGGGGGAGCACATCGTTGTTGGGGATTCCCCAAGAAAGGGTTTGATCGCCGGAAGAGGCGGTCTTATT